AGCATATAAATTATTCACTAGATCAACAACAGAACTTAAATTTCAAAAACTAGCTCCTAAGTTAAACAAGGAAAACTTATTGCCATTACATATTCAAGAAATGAAAGTAAAGACATCTACACGTGTATCATCAGCCGTGACGTAAGAAGTGGATCGAGATTTCTTTCGGAGGTAGTGAGTAAACATGACTATTTAACAACTGCTCGGTTTATTTATGCCGTCGAAAAACGTTTCTAAAATAGCAACGTCGAGGCATCTGCATTCTTGGCTCCAAGTGTGAGGAATCGATAACGTTTATAAGACATTTTCATTGAACTTTTTAAAATATATGAACGTAGCAGATAAGTCTATTTGGAACCTCGCCAAACTGGTTTGCTGGTTACGACTCTATCAATTTTTTTTACATTTGCGACATGAATTTTTCATTAACAAACATTATCGTTTTTTACCTACGTCAAGTGCTTCACCATAGACAGCTTAGAAAGTTCATTTAGTTTATTAGTGCAAAGCAAGTGACTACAAATTTCAGAACGGTTTCAGATTAATTTCGGAATCTCGATATTTAAATGATGATGATGATGATGATGACAGAGATATTTTTTGTTTTAATCAGAATTAGTTGATGTAATCAAAGAACTTTTAAAGGAATATGATAAAGTTGTTATACCAGAATATTTTGAAGTGAAAATATGCCTGTGAACAATGCAGAAATCTATATAATAATTTAATTTCTGCATTGTTTACATGCATATTTTCACTTCAAAATATTAAATANTAAATGGCACAAACGTTGATACAACAAGTAAATTAGGAACAGAGTACACTGCGAACACAGCGTTAGTCCAATATTTTTATCGATTTAACAAATGTTTTGAGTGCCTTGTAGTAGTTCATGCACTCTATCAAAGCATGACTTTGGCAGGGCCAAAGGTCGTTATTGCTTTGGACCGCGCTTATAAGATGATTTCTTTCGTTCTTGTAGTTGGGACAGTTCCAGATTATGTGATAGGAGTCTTCATCCTCATTGAGGGTACACAAGCACTTACCGTTGGTCTTTTGCAGGAACCTTCGTAAGTAGCTACGGAGGTTCCCGTGTCCTGTGACGAGCTGCGTTATACTATGGTTCGTGATGAAATGTTTATAGTGACTCCTTCGTCTGACATCCGGTATGAAACTGTGTGTCGTTCTGCCTGTGTGGCTGGAATCCCACCTATCTTGCCAAGTTTTCCACGTGTAGTCCCTGATATAGTTCTTTACCCATGTTGGTGGGGTGAGAGCAAAAGAGATGTTATTGCACCGTGTGTGGGCCGTGCGTGCCAGCAGATCGGCCCTCTCATTTCCGGGGACTCCTGAGTGGCCGCGGACCCAGGAGAAGTTGATGGGGAGTTTTTGGTTGATGGTAAATAGAAGGTTGATGCTATTGTTCACTATGTTATGCTTTATATTAATGTTTTTTAACTGCTGAAGGGCCACACGGCTGTCACTGTAGATCGTGATGCTATCTATGTTGTAGCGGGCGTAGTTGTCCTGTATCCATTGCAAGGCCCTGTAAATCGCCAGGGACTCGGCCTGGTTGGCCGTACAATGGTTGGCCAGCTTATAACTGGCCTGGTAGATGTTCTTAGAATTGTTCATAACAACCAAAGCGCATCCAACCCCGTCCTCTGATTTAGAGCCGTCCGTGTACACACTGTAATCTGTAGTTGTCTCGGCGTCGTCCATGATGAAGTGTTCATCCAGAGAGGTGATAGGGTGAAGAAACTGATGCTGATAGTTGTGGTCAAGTCCATATCTGTTAATGTGGTCCGTGATGATGTTTAACGTCGTACTGTCAACCATGTTCCCCATAATTTTGTTGAAGTCTTGTGGGCTGATGGTTTGTTTGGCTAATTTCCGTTGTTGGTGGTTCCAGAACTTTTCGGTGATAATAAGGTCGATGGGGATCAAGTTTGCGATTGCTAGTAGGGCGTCTGTCGGGGCTGTCTTGTAAGCTTTTGTGATTGATATTAGGGCTAGTCTCTGTGCCGAAAGCAGCTTCCTTTTTATATGGACTTTAGAGACGGATGCCCCCCAGACCTCTGACCCGTAAGTCAGGATAGGCTCTATTACCGCCACGTACATGAGTCGGCAGGCCGCACTACCATAGCCCCAGTGGCTCCTGGCGATGGAAGCCAGAGAGTGCAAGGCCGTGACCGCCTTCTCATATGCGTAGTGAGCTTGAAGTTTCCAGGTTAGCCTGTTATCCAGTATGACTCCAAGATATTTGAGCTTATCACTGTTTTTTATCCTGTTGCCATCCATCTTTATTATGGGCCCTTTGTGAAGAGGGGTGGCCTTTGGGAAGACTATGCAGCTGCTCTTGTTGTAGTTTATATGTAGCTTCATTTTGTGACACCATTTAGAAATGACCCTTAGTATGTCGTTGGTTCTTGCCTGCAGTACTTCTTGGTTCCTGTGCGATAGTGCCAGGACGGTGTCGTCTGCATAGCCTTGGATGCTGCAGTTGTTATCACCAGGGAAGGTTGATTTTAGATTTAGGAGACCGTTGTACATCATGTTCCATAGGAACGGGCCTGACCTTGATCCCTGGGGGCAGCCCCTGTTGATATTCTTCTGCAGGTGTATCTGGTTGTTGTTGTTGACTGTGATAGTTCTATTGTTTAGGTAATCCTTCACCAGTGCATAGATGTTTCTTGGGCATCCAGTGTCCTTGATGCTATTCAGGATGGCGGGCCACCATGCGTGGTCGAATGCTCCTTTGAAATCTATTGAGACCACTATGGTGTGCTCTCCTTTCCCTTTGGCGTCATGTATGTAGTTCACAATATAGTCAAGGGCTGTTATAGTACTTCTCCCACGCCTGAAACCATGTTGATTGCTATTTAGGTGGTTGTTTTGTTCGCAATGGTAAACCAACCTGTTTACCATAAGCCCGTCCAAGACCTTCCCCAGTACAGGAAGAAGGGAGATCGGGCGGTAATCCGATGGATTCGATGGATTCTTATTTTTCGGGATAAGCTTTATCGACGCTATTTTCCAGATGTTCGGGAAGAGCGCTAATTGCAGGCATTTGTTATATAACACACAAAATACGGTGGGGATTGCTTCGAAGGCCATTTTCGCCATTTTTGGTGTGATGGCATCCGGTCCAGGAGCCTTCCGCAACTTTAGCTTTTTAAATTCCTTCGCAATCTCATGGTTCGTAAACTGGCTGTCGTTTTCAGTGTTGAGGCTTGCATTACAATCTTCTCTGATTTTAGCGTGGATACTATCATCTGTTGATAGGTCGTCATCTGGGAAGAGGTCTCTGAGAATGCGGTGGTAGGTATCCTCAATAGACGTACTTGGGTTATTAATGTTGTCTTCAAAGTTGTTTGGGATTTTACATCCCTTCACCTTGCCCTTTACTATGTAGTAANATACAACACGGTGGCTGCTCTCTTCTTGTGCATTCGTTATATCTATGTGCTTTGGAGCAATGACTACAGATTTGTTTAGACGTACAGTCCTTCGCAAGATGGTTGTACCCGCAGCACTGGAAACAACGGGTTATGTGCACGTAGTCATCTATACGAATGTTCGCCCATGATAGTGAGATGTATTTTTCTTTTATAAGCTGGTTCCTTATTCCCGGTGTAGTTGAAAGCACAACATGCCTGCAGTTTTCCTTAGTATTTCCTTTTGTTAGGGTTGTGCTTATTCTTGTTGATTCCTCAAATTCCTGTTTGCTTATCCCATTCAAGAAGTCGTTTTGTTCGTAGATTGTGCTGATGATGCTGTCGTCCTCAGCTGAATTTGGGACGTTCAGCAAGATTATCCTTGGACGCCTGCCTTCCGAGACCCTAGTTTTTATTTGTGGTTGGACTTCTGGGAGTCCCTGTACCGCTTGCTCCAGAATCATGGCATCCCTCTTGCTGCTGGTACGGAAGCAGAGACCGTTACCTTTAATCTTCCTAATTGCCGTCACTTTAATTTTCAATTTATCCGGCTTCACCTCCTTTATAATATTGTTTTTTATTACTTCCATGTTGGTGGTGCTGGTTTCAGGATTGGCTTCGTTCGGATATACAATCAAGGCATAACTGCTACTGCAGCCTTCGCTTTGGATCTTTTTATTTATAGAGCGTGATATTGTTTTCGTTGTTGTACTTTGTGGGATGTTAGTTTTTACTATTTCGGAATACGAAGGTATTAGTCTTGGCTGTGTTTGGTGGCACTGACAGTGTGAGCTCTCCGTAGTGTTTTTGGCAGCTCTGAGCTCCACCAGGCTGCCGTACAGCTGATGTATAGTTGCGAACATTGAAGTCACCCTTTCTTTTATCTCCTTTTTATCTGGTACGGAGGGGTTGGATTTGCTTGGAAGCGGCAGAAGGTCCATTATGCGTTGAAGGTCCTCTTGTGATTCGGCTAACAGCCTGGCTTCCAGTGTTGGAAATGTGCTGTCGGCCTGGGAGTACCGGGCAGGGGAACCTGGTCTCGATGTGGCTTCGCAATCTGTTGATGATGAGTCCAGTTCTACTTCGACTTGATCCATGATGAAATGAATTTGTCCGTCCAGAGATCACAGAGTACAAAATTATATGGTAATGCAGAGGTATGTGAGTAGGCCACCAAGGAAGAGTGTTTGTGTAATTGTATAGCGACAGATGCCGTTTGGCTACAGACTTTGTCTCAGTGGGAATAACCGACTGGGACAAAGGGGAAAGCAGAGATTGGTTGGCCTTGTAAAACCACTTACCTTTAGCCTTCAGTTTGCGGATCCTTGTTTGCTGAATACCGGCTTGCCCTACGCAACGGAAGTCCGGTGAACAATTTCTTGGCACTACTATTGTCCTTTGGTAGTGTTTGCTTGACGCAATGTGGTGTCTTGTGATAATTCTTGCCCGACGCNATGTACAAGACATTGCTACTTGCAATGTAAGATGACACAACGAAGGCCGATTGCAATGATATATGAAAACAGTTAACAAAACAGAGATCCTAGTTTACAAAAATGACGATTAGTTTAAACTTAAACCTGTGTATTTTTGAAGTTCTTTTAAATAGAGTGGACAAGCTTTGTCCATAGTATTATGCTCTGTATTGTTCATTTTCGCTTTTGAGCAGTTCGAGCACTTGGCGGTTTCTTGTTTCCTATGGCAGTCCTTGTAAACGTGAGATTCACCGCAGTGACTGCAGATTAGGTCTTTTTGTGAACACTCTTTCCCATAATGCCCAAATGCAAGGCATCTGAAGCAGCGATTTATTGCTATATGATCGAACACTGGACATCTCGTCCATTCTATATTCAGAATTTCCTCCTTGATCATCATCTCCCGAATCATAACGGAGACCTCCATAATCCAAGTCCTATACTCTGGATTTCGATGTGGAATAGAATATTTGATATTGATGCCCTCTTCCAAAATTTCCGGTGATATATTCTCTGTGAAACAGGAGTTTTGCTCATAGAGTTTACTTATAATGTCCTCTTTTGCCACTACTGTTGGTACCGACACCAATTTTACTAAAGGTAGCTTCTTAGTTTTAACCCTTGTTTTAAGTTCTTTCACTCTTTTTATTTCATCTTCTAGAGATAACATTTCCTCTGTATTACTAACATCTACCGCTATACCTCCCTTTTGAAGCTTCCTTATTCTCTTCACTCCTAGTCTTAAGTTCGTCGGGTCTATATTTTTCTTTAAAATTTCTCTGGTTTGTTCAGACGAATTTTTCTCATCTTTACTATACACAAGCACCGTATAGCTTGGTGTGGGGGTGGGTAGTTCAATTTCACTCTGTTTCTTTCCCAACTTTAGGACCTCACTGTAGCTGATTTGTTGTTTTTGTGTACTGGGCGGGTTAGTAAAATTCTTATGTAATTCAGAAATATCACCTTTTACTGTTTTAATTGCTTCCATCGTTTTTTCCGTGTTCTCTTTCACCAGTTCCTCCAGTACCTTTTTTATCTCTGTTTTGTCTTCTTCTGCTTCCTCCCCCTTCCCCTTCATTCTTTTCAATTCCTCAATGTCCTCCTTTAATTCATTCACTGCTTTAAATGTCTTTTCACTATTTTCCTGAATTATCTCTTTTATTTCCTGTTTATATATCCCCAATAAACTTTGCTCCTGTTTCGCTATCCTCATACAGTTTGCTCTTATTGTAATCTCTGCCAACGTAATAATTGCTACCATTTTCTCAACTATCATATTATTATGATCCGATGTAGACATTCTTCCGTTATTATGCACTTTTATATATTCTTGTAGTTCATCTATTAGTTTATATGCCTTCTTATTGAATTCCTTTATCGAGTCCTTATTTTTGTCAGCCATGTTTAACTAACGTCTAAATCTTATATTAAACAATTTAAAATACACTCTATGCTATGATAATAACTTGAAAAAAAAAGTACTTTTACTTAAAGAATAACAAGCGATTTTTAAATTCGAACTGTCGATAAAGCCGTTATACACTTCTACGGTTGATTGCGGTCAATGACCGTAACCATGGAGACGGCCGTTATAAAAAACGGCCAGGCTTCGTTAAGTGTAAAAAATCCTTAATTTTTAAAATCGCTATAACTACTCAACTATTTATCGTAAAAAGTTCAAATTACGTCTAAATATTTCCCATAGCATCCTGTTACTGATAATAACATTAGTTTTTAAAAATAATCCAAAGGGGGCCCGATGCGGGCCGATTTAGTCTACCACAAAAGTCATATTTTCTCGAAAACTATTAATGTCAAAGTCACCAAATTTATATGGGTTACTCACGTGAGGGTCCTCTATATGAATCCGTCAAGTAATCCGGTTAATCGAGTCCCACTTTCCGAAAAATCTGTATCCAATTTTCGAGTTTTCAAGTTGTCGTATCTCCATTAATTTTGACCTTTGACCCTCCAAAATGACACCACTGGGTTCCACTTAACGAGACGAATCACCCGATATGAATAAATCTACTGTAGGTTGAAAATTTCTCGAGATATCACTGTTCACACAGGAGCTACATTTTCCACGTCTATCCAAACTGACGACTCGACGCCCTCTGATTGCTATAGACATGAGTCATAAAGGAGAAAGGCTGTCTTGCGACTTAGCCCCAGGAGAGGATGGGGATGGGGTGAAGAGGGGAGGTGAGATGGGATGGGAGAGAAATGTGGGAAGGAGAGGGGGTTAGGAGGGGATGGTAGGAGGTGCGGGGGGAGCAGAATGGAGGGAGGAGGAAATGGAAGAAGAAGATGGTTGAAGGATGGGATCTCATTAGGCGTCCTGCATTGGCATTTATTAAAAAACAGTCAAGTTACATAGTAAGCAGAGACCAATTTGGTTGAGGGTACAATATAGTTACCGGTGGCGTAGAAAACACAATTACAGATAAGATACATGATAAACCGACAAGTTACATACTTGTTTCATACAGGTTACATAGTAGATAGATAGGTTACATTGTAGAAGAGACCACACCAGTAGAGGATACAATATCGGTGTTAGTGGCGTAGTAGACACAATTATAGATAGTTACATAATAAACTGCGTGTTACATAGATTAGACTGACAAGATACAAGGGAGGCATAGACCGCCTCGGTTGAGGCTAATACACGTAATGGAGGTGCCAATGACAGTTATAACCGAAAGGGAATATACACTCACGCATGTTACATTTAATAAGCAAAGTTTGTTCATCCATCGGCGACACAATGCTTGTAGCGTTCGGAACAACCCAACAGATGATGGTTGGTAGCTGCACCATTTACACAAGGGTGGTTTGACAGGGCAAAAGTCTACGTCATGTGGCTAGCTTGGCGGCTTGTAAACAAAGATGCTGCTATCCCTAATGAAGTTTTCAAAGTGGATGAATAGGTCCTTCGTTGCACAAAAAAGTTCCCATGGCGGAGGCCAGTTCAAACCGTTAGAGACACAATAATTTATTAGTCTTCTCCTCTGTGCACCGTGGTTGCGGCATTCGGTGATTATGTGATATATGTTGCCTGTGGTGAGACCGTCACAGTCGCAATGGTCGTCGTCCCTCTTTTTGATGCGGTGTAGGTAAGTGGGGATATTACCATGGCCAGTGAGAGCTTGGGTAAGGTGGTAGGAAGGGGTAAGGTAGTTCATATTTTGGCGGCTAGTGATGGAGGGTAGAAAGTCATAGGTCGTTCTCCCCGTGGAGGAGCTTGACCACTCATTCTGCCATTCAGTCCTGATTCTGGAGGTCAGCTGCCTGTGGATGTATTTGAGGGGGAGCTTGCTGAAAGAAATAGTGATGTTACTATTTGCAGCTTTTTTGGCGAGGCCATCTGCTCTCTCGTTGTTGTGCACCCCAGCATGGCCAGGGACCCAGCCAAAGCTGACCATCTTGGTTCTGTGTAGGTGCCGTGCCATATGATAAACTTTCATTCCTATGATGGTTTGGCGCTTGTTATTCGTGATGCTACTTAATGTGTATCTACTGTCCGTGATGAATTTCATGGACCCCGGCATATACTTGATGTGCTTAATAACATAGGTGAGAGCCTGATTCATAGCCTAGAGCTCCGCCTGGTTGTTAGTACAGAAGGCCCCTAGCTTAAAATATTCCTCGTGCACAACTTCATTATTGTTGGTACGGTAGACGACAAATGCTGCTCCTGTGCCCTGGCTGTTGCTGGCTCCATCTGTATAGATGTGCCAGTTATAGGTGGGGCCGTTTGGCTTATCCTCATTTTCAATGTTGATGCTGCACTGTTCTGCTGGGTGAGAGGGGTTTCCCCCTTCATTAGCAATTAGATCAATACCATTTTTTGCAATTTGATCGTTTAGTTCAGGGTCCTCGGGGCAGAATTTTTCCCCTTCTTTGTTGTTACTATAACTTTCCACTTCCTTGTTATTCCAGTCCTTATTTGTTAGTTTCCAATGTCGGAACACTTCCCTAATCCTTAGGTGAATTGGGGTCAAGTTGGCAATGGTCAGAAGCCCGTCCGTGGGTGCTGTGCGATACGCGCGGCATACCCGGATTGCGAAGGAGCTCTGTACAGAGAGCAGTTTTCTCTTATTGTGGACTATGTCCGCTCTGTCGCCCCATATCTGTGCTGCATACAGCAGTGCCGGCTCGATGGCCCCTTTATAAATTAGCCGGCAATGTTTGGAGCTAATGCCCCAAGAATTCCTCGCAATATGATGAATCATGTTGGCCTTCTGGCTAACTTTTTTGCATAACTCCTCTATGTGATTCTTAAAACTCAAAGTGGGGTCGAGCAGGACACCCAAATATTTAAGGTGTGAAGTGATATTAATCTTGTTTTTATTTATGTACAAGCACAGGGGCCTCTGTAGTTGTTTCCGGTTCGACTTCTTAGTGCAGACCAGGGCTTCACATTTTTTGTAATTGATCGGAAGGCAATTTTCCTCGCTCCATTTGTAAACAAGATCTAATAGTTCGTTCCCTCTTCTTTGCAAGACATCGCAGTTCTGGTGCCTTACCATTATAACTGTGTCGTCCGCAAATCCTTGGATCCCGGAGTCTTCAGTGTCGGGAAATAGAGTGAGGAGGAAATTATAAACCAAGTTCCACAGCCCGGGTCCGCTGCGTGATCCTTGTGGACAGCCTCTATTCACCTCCTTTGTGATATTGATTTTATTGTAGTTGAAACTGACCTTCCTATCTGTCAGATAGTTCCCCGTGAGATAGTATATGTTCCTGGGGCAGTTTGCCTTCCTGAGACTCTGCATCACCGAGGGCCACCAGAGGTGGTCAAACGCCTTTTTGTAATCGACGCTCACCAATAAGGTGTGCTTGTTTTTCTCCCAGCCTTCAGTTATAAAGCTTTTGATGTTGCTAATGGCCATGATAGTCGACCTACCTGGCCGGAATCCATATTGTTTGTTGCTCAGCAGACTTTTCTGGTTAAGGTGCCAGTTTATCCGACCAATAATCAGGCCGTCCAACACCTTACCGAGGACCGGGAGGAGGCTAATTGGCCTATAACCTTTTTCTTCATTCCTGCTGTCAGTTTTAGGAATAAATTTGATGTTGGCTACTTTCCAGGCTTTCGGGAAATATCCCTGCTGAAGACAGCCGTTGTACAAGATTACGAAAGCAATCGGGACGGCCTCAAACGCTTTTTTAGTCGTTTCAGCCGTTATGTTGTCAATACCCGGGGCCTTTTTATTTGCTAGCGTCCGGATAGCCTTATTTATCTCCTCGAAGGAGAACCAAACGTCGTCTTCCCCTGTATATGTTGTGCTAATTGCTGCTCTGGTTTCCTTGTGATGGGCTTTGTCCTTCTTTTCATCGTCTCCGGGGAAGTGAAAGTCCATTAGATTATTAATATTGTTCTCAATGCTATAATTCGCGCTGTTATTGCCTGTGCCATTTGTCATGATATTGGGAAGGCCCTTTCCTTTCCTTTTTTTAAAGACTATTTTATAGGGCTCGCCCCACGGGTCAATGGATGGTTGAGCACAGAAACTCCTCCATGCTTTTGTCCTAGTGTTGTTAATATTTTTTTTGTATATTTTTAATGCTGCATGGTACTCCTCACCTTTGCGGGCCCTATTTTCTTCATTCCTCTCATTTAGCCATTTCCTGCGCATTCTTCTGATTTTTCTTTTCTCACTTTCAAGATTGTCATCCCACCAGTGAGTGCGGGGGTCCCTTTTCACTATCCTTGATGAGCCCTGTATGGCCCTTGTCATTGAATTGGTAATATGACTCACATACTCGTCTATCTTAGTGGTGTTATCAATTTCAGTGAATTGATAACTTCTCCAGTTCTTTGCAAACATTTCTTGGAATAGGTCCCAGTTTGTCCTTCTGCTGTAGTAGTTGTCAGTGCTGTTGTCAGCGTGCTGGTCATTTTCAAGAGTGGTAAGAATGTAGCGGTGGTCGCTGGCCGAGTCCTTCAAGAGGGTCTGGCAGCTAATCACCTTGCTACCCACGTTGGCGGGCGCCAGGCAGACATCAGTCCAGCCTTTAGCCCTTGCAGTTTGGAAGGTTGGAGTGTCCGATGTGTTGAGCGAGACCTTGTCAATTTCGTTTAGTAGGTCTTGAAGTAGTCGCCCTCTGTTATCCTCCGTTTCGTGGTACCATAAATGTGATTTAGCGTTACTGTCCCCAGCGATAATATAGCTTTTATTACCCAGTTTCCTCGCCACTGAGGCCACTTCATCGATACATTCCTCATCATTGTCAAAGGGTGAGAAATAAATGCATATAATGTAGTCCACCGGGCCTCTGTGGAGTGCTGCTGTAGTTATCCGGTTTGAGCTGAGCTCAGGTATTAAGGCGAGGCTAAGATTTTTATTTCTGACTATTATACCACATTTTTGTCTTTCATCGGTGGTACCTTTG